AAAAAAAAGATGTTGAAATATGAGTACTGCCTGTATAAGTTTTTATTAATATTCTATACTATAGATGTGTATTACATAATCAATAAACACAAGATGCCAATATCAAGTGGTTTCAGCTATCATCAAACAAGTCATCCTAAAATAAAACCTATTGTACAACCACAAATTGTTACTCGTTCACCTAAGGTAAATGTCATTCTATTCTAATTGATATCTGTCTTGGAGTTTTTACTAAATATCATGTTATTCATTTATCGGAAAAAAAGAAATTAATAATTTAAGAAAGAAAAAAAACGAGAATGAGATCGAAGAGAATACAAATGTATGTTTTCTTATTACAACTCATAGCAACCATCGTATGAGAATATCGAGTAATTTATAAAAAGACATTGATCAAAAGGTAAAATGAATTCATTAGTTAGACTTCTAAAAATAACTTTTAAAAAGTCAGAAATAGAAAGTTTATATGTCACTAACATATTATGAACAGTTTCGAACAAATCGACCAAGCAAAAATTATAATGGTAGTTTATTTTCGAATTCGAAAGCAATGACAAGTGGAAAACTATTACCACAACGACCAACAGCTGTTGCTAAACAGCCATTACGTTCTGATACATTTACATTGCCATTAAAAAGTAATGAAATAAATTCGAAAGTGTCTAATATTAATCAACGAGAAATGACCAAAGAGCCTATGAACATTGATTCATCATTATTCACTGGACGCAAACATACCGAAACAAAGCAAAAAAACAGTAGTATTCGATCGGTTCTAAAACAACCTAATTCAAATAATTATCGACAAAATCCTGTACGATTGATTAATAATTATGAAAATACCTATGATTCTTCTTCTCCTGTTTATATTCCAAAAATTGTTTCGATTGCTAATCCATTACGTCAAGATAATTTCAACAAATCACGACGTCTACGTATAGGCAATGATGAATATATAATGCAGCGTCAACGTAATCCTCCTAATCACGTCGATAATGCTTATTATATGGTGAGTAATATAGCAACAATTTCTTTTGTTACTTATTAAATTATATTTAGGAAAACTTAAATAATAAACCAAGATCACAAAGAAAAGTTCAATTTGTACGTGATGTAATATCTCGTGAACCTGATGATTCATATTATACAGAATCAGAACCAAAACATCGAAGACCAATTATTCATCGACCAACACCATCACCTGAAAGTGTTTATGCTGATAAAGTACCATCAACTAATGTGTCACGTCGTTATCAGTATCCTCAACGTTCAAAAATTGCGCATATAGGTGATCGTCGACCTTTGAAGTTTGAAGAAGAAACAATTTATATTGATAATAATGGTAACGAAATTGAACCAATTTATCATCGATAAAACCACAGAAAAACTTGTTATTTTTCATCAGTAAATTTGCATAGCTATTTCTTCTAGAGGAGCTTTTCTTTTTACGATCTTGAGAGTGTGATTAAAACATAACAATATATTATGTTTATATATTTTCAATTAATAAAATAAAATAAAAACTAATCTTTAATTCTCAAAGTTTTCTTTTTACATACTTACCTCGATAATCTCGCATGATTTTCAGACTTGTCTTATAATCGAGTGAAACTGATATACTTTCAAGATCAACAGATGTGTTCATCTAAATCGAAAACTTCAACTAACGTATGCCAAAAGAACGCTGATGATTCTTAAGAGTGTGGGTGTGTGTGTGGGTGTGGATGTAGATATCCTTTCTTCATTCACCCACACCCACACCCTCAAGATGTTTATATTTGAAATCTTAAAACTGTAGGTGTTGAAAATGTGGTTGTTGTTGATGGAATTAATAAAGTTAAAAGTTAAGATAGTATCAGTATCTTTACCAATGGAATACTTATTTATTTACCAATTAATTAATTTCTAATCAGATTTTTTGATAAAAATAAATCTATTTAGAAATAAAAACACTTTTTTTTTTATCTTAATTGATAAATACTTTTTCTAATTTATTTCAATGTATTTATCTGACTAAAAAATCATTTATATATGAATATTATGTTATCTTATGATAATTCTATATCGAACTAAGCATAAGATTAACTTCGATATATATCTTAGTCTTATATAGACTTACTCAAAAATAACTCCCGTAAAAATTTATTCTCTTCATTTATAATCAACTGGTATTCGATTATTTATGATTGGTTGAAAACTTTTGATGGAAAATGAACATTTAACGTTATTTATTTAATTAAAGAAATTTAACACGAACTCTTTTGTAACAAATGCTTCATTTTTTTCGATAGTTTTTCTATTAGAATGAAAATTTAAATGTTTAAAAAGAATTATATATTCCACTTAATGATATATTCTATCAATTTTGAAAAATAGATATCATAAAAGAATATGTAAGTACAATTCGTAGTTTTCTTTAAAAGTTAATAGAAATATTCAGGGAATAATTAGAAAGATTATTGAATGAATAAAAGGTAGACAAATGTTTTTTTCTTCGAATAAAATAAATGAAAATATATATTAATTGTCTTATTTTTTTATTGTTCGTTGAATTCCTGCATTTCAATTTCACGTGCTTCTTCTTCAACTGCATTTGCTTCTGCTATATTACAGAATATAAACTGATACTGAACGACAGTAGTTATTGTATTAATAAATATCATTATACACTACAATAAAAACAATATATCTATAATTTTTGTGCCTACGGTTGAGTACTTACATAAAATACTTTTAAATCGTCGTACAATATTTTATCGACGTCATTATTGATGAAGAAAACCACAATAGTCAAATACAGTAAACATAAATATACTAGTATACGAATTGCCGAATTCTGACAAAAGTATAAAATGCATTATTTTTAATAAAAATTTAAAAGTTTATCCATCTTACGTTTGCAATTTATTCAGACTGTCTTTGCCGAAGAGCAGTAACATTCCAAGCCTAACAATTCGGTCCGAAAACGGTCGGTTTCAGACAATGCGGGAGAATAGATCCGCTCATTATTCGGTTTTGTTTGGATTCCACAGAAACCTGTCAAAACCAGCAGCCGGATACGATCGCCAGATCCTTCTCCATCTTGAGGGTGTAGGTATTATGTTCTTTCCACATCCACACCTTCAAGATGTTAACAACGAACAATAGTTTATATATTCATTTAACTGTTGTTTGCTTTATTGTTTTTTCTGTTCGTCTTCTATGCGTTACTTTATCAAACGCTTCGTCTGTTGACATTATTAATGGGTTAGAAATTTTTTTCAAGAATATTTTAAAATAATTATTTATTAATTTTTATTAAAAATTTCTTTGTTTTCAATAAACGATATAGTTTTAAAACAAAGTAAAGTAAAAAGAAATTATTAGCTATTCTAAATATATCGTCAGAATTATTGAATATAATAGATGACACTTTATATTTTAAATTAAATATTTTAAAATAGAATTAAGCAAATTTTATCTTTTCATATTTATATATCTTATAAAATCGATATCTGTTAAAACAAGAAACAATATTTGATATGGAAATGATTGTAATAGCTAACAATTTTCTCATTAAGTTTTATATCCAAAAACAATTAAATGAAAAAGAAATAGTTTATTTTTAATAGAATTTATTAAAAAAGTACAAAAAAACCGATCTACTATTGACTTTTTTTACAATAAATAATGTTAATATATTTGAAAAATTGTTGAGTTTAATATCAGGTAAGATTTAAACTAAACCAAAAATTGGTATAAAACTAAAAGATGAGCAAAATAGATGCAAACTTTGTTTCCATTTATATTTAGTTGATTGAAATGTAACAGTTCAATTTTATCTTCAATTTGGTGTTCCAGTAATTGTAAGTTTTTAAGTTCTACTGGTGCTTGTTCTTCTTCTTCTATTTTCAGCCATAACGTCAGGTAGTTTAGTATGGCTGTTGAAATACAGATGTCTATATAGATATACTACAATAACAAAACAAATACATTAAAAAATAGTAGATTTAATGTGGATAATTACGAAAACGTTTTTCAAATGTAAATATGATCGTACATGAACATCCTGGTTTATAAGAAAATCCGTAAAACCATCGATGCCAAAAATAATGTTAGCAAGCTACGAGCACCAGCAGCCTAAAAAAACTCAAATATATTATTTATAGAAAAAAATCAAAAACTTTATTCATCTTACCATATTTAAATTATCTTTGCCGAACGGTAACATTGAACGTTTAATAGCACAATAAATGAATACAATCAATAGGAATACAAAAAATAACAGGTAAATCAGATTTTCAATGTAAATATTGAATGTTTCTGTTTTCGAAGACATATCAGCGTTCAATTTAAAAATATTCACTTTTAATTCATTTAAGAACCTTTTTGTTAAAGTTGAGCCAAAAATAATCAATATACTTGTAACAAGCTTAAAAGTAAACAAATAAAAGTTGTTATATATTTTTTTGCCTTTCTAGCACTTACTATATTAAAAATAAAAGGAACCTTCGCTAGTGAATTCGCCGTTTTTTACTTATATACTTTTCTTTCCGTAATCTGTATGAGATTTTACTGAAAGACTCATAAATGATGATCTGTTAAAGATCAGTCATTGTTTTTGTAAAATGTTATTAAATATTTATTAATTTTAATAAAAAACTGCTTTGGTTTCAACAAACGGTATAGTTAACATATCCAGGTCGAACAATCCGGCACGGAAACGGCTGGTTTCGTGGTATGCCGAAGATTTCATGGAAGCAATATCCCCATTCAACGGACCCAGCCACCAGATCCGTTGCGTTTCACTCGGAACCGATTCCAGTGTCGAATTTTTGGCATTTTGCGGTAGGGTTTGGGTGTGGGTATTATATTCTTTCCACACCCACAGCCCATGCTCAAGATCAATATCTAATAATTCGATTTTATCTTGAACTTGTTTTTCTTCTAGTGCTTATAAATTTTGTAATTCATCTTCTGGTGCTTGTTCTTCTATTTTGAGCCATAATCTTGGATAATTTATTGTGGCTTTAAAAAAACAAATACCACCTTGTACATACTACAATAAAACTATACATGTACAATTACTGTATTTATTATTGAGTATTTACATAAAAGTATTTTAAATCAGTATATACGTTCATGTCTTGATTCATTGGTAGACTAGCAAAACTACTACATATTAAAAACAAAAAGATGCAAAGACGAATTACAGTATTCTAAAAAAAAGTATAAAGTATTTTATTTTTAATAATTATTTCAAAGTCTATCCATATTACTCTCATCCATATTATATTTAATTCCTTTATATCATCGTTTTTGAAAAAAAATAATAATATGCCCTGTTTAATCGTATGCTTCATATATGTAATCAATACCGATATGAATATTAGTAAATGTATGGTGTTTTCCACGTAAACCTCGAATATTCTTTTTTTAAAGCAATGTCATTCTTCAACTCAGAAATATAGACTTTTAATTCATTTAAGAATTTTTGTTATAATCAAACCAAAAATAACCAATATACTTGCAAGAGGCCTGAAAATAAACAAATGAAATTTGTTATATTATTCTTTTCAATTCTAGCACTTACTATATCAAAAACAAAATGAATCTTTGCTATGCAATTCGCCGTTTTTCTAGTTATATATTTATCTTTTCGTAATCTGTATGAAATTTTACTGAACGACTCATATATCACAATCTCTAATTGATCAGTCATTTTTTTCTAAAATATTATTAAAAATTTTTTTGTTTTCAATAAACGATATAGTTAAAACAAAGGTAAAGATGAAATAAAACGAAAGAAAGACAAATTATTGATTATTCAAAATAAATCGTCGGTTACAGATACAATTATAGAATATGATAAATGACGCTTCATATAGTTCATCTTCTTAATTGTTACGAAAAACTAATCGAACTAACTTTAAAAAGTATTAATTACAAGTAACGCTCGTGGGAAGACTTGCTCAGCTCTTTCTCGTAGAAACGGTGTGTCTTCACTGACAATAAACTATTTAATCGAACAGTTTCAAAGAAAACGACTTCAGATTCGAGTACCTCGACTCTGGTTACCCTTCGTTCAACCCTTATAAAAAATGCCTCTTATATCCTTGACTAAGTCTTGAGGGTGGGTGTGAGTGTGGGTATTATATTCTTTCCATACCCGCATCCACACACACACACACCCTTAGAATACTAAAAATTAAAAATTAGATAAATATTAGTCCAATGATTTCTTCTAATTTTTTCAAAAAATATAATCATAGATAATAAAAATAATTTATAAATATTAATAACAAAGAAAAGTAATAAAATGATAAATATGTTTTTGTCTTCAGTGTTACATTGCTGACTATATAATTTTTTTTGTTTTTCATATTTTTACCTTT